CAAGAATGGAAGTGATAAAATCAATCATGGATTCCAGTGACGTGGCACAATACTTCTCCTCCCTTTTAATCCCTGACCTCTCACACTCTTCAATTGTATTCTTCATAACCTCGGCAGTTGCTGGCCCAGGCTTCACAGCAAACTCGTTCAATATTTGGGTAATCTATAAGTAAAGAATTATATAAATACACAAGGTATTTGTTGTCTCAAAATATTAGTGGTTCGCAGGCACTGCATTGTGAAAGGGGATCTGGGCACTGCCTTATTTGAAGAAAAGGGAATAAAGTTCGCAACTTCACGAGGAAGGAAGGAGGTTTGTTGGAAGCTTGCGTGAAGAGCACGTTCATTTTGCGATGTGGCTTCAAGTCCTTTTCCAAGAAGAAGAGAACTGTGTTGGGATTATCATGGAATTCAATCCCACAATGAATATAAGAAAACCTCAATGTTGGTGGAATCGATATAATAAATGACTTGCCAACATTACCTGTGAGCAGAGAAAGCACCAATGAACAGTAAAATGCTGACCAGATGGGTAGAGGAGATCTGTGATAGATTTAGGAATTGGAGTAGTGGGAAGCTTGGATTGCCAATAAAGTTCCGGAGGTAAGGCATGTGATGCCACCACTGCAACCTGCAATTTCATGTATTCATACATAATATGTAAATATATAAATATTCATTCGCATTAGCTTCATTTGAATAGTCAAAAAAAAGAAAAACAAAGTGAAAAGCGAAAGCAATTAAGTCGAAGCTCACAATGAAAAAAAAAAACGATGGGTTGGAGTGAAAACTTCATTGTTGGAGAAACTGTGTAATGAAGCTGCAAATAATTATCAATTAATTTGTGCGTGCAGAGGGAGAGAAAGGGAGAGAAAAATAATTATCAATTAATGATGACAAGTTAACTGCATGGATTAAATAATCTTTAGTATTTACATATATGATTCGTTTTGCTAGGCGTTCTTAATTTTTTTTAAAAAAAAACCTAGAATGACGTGCAAAAAAGTTGTGAAATCGTCCACTTCGTGCAAATTTCAAAATTGGCTGTCAATGCAAGTCTTGTTATAAAAGGAAATGCATCATTTTCTAAGATGACTTTGAAAAATTGGATAGAAAAGTTAACTGCATAGGCGAAGGGTGGGTTGTTTTTCTCCACTTGGAAATATTTAAAGTAAATGCATTATTTTCTATATATAAATATTCTCTTTGTTTCTTTACATTTGACAAATTTTAAAAGTTATTTTTAATATAAGGCAAAGTTAGTGTAATTAATATATAGCTTGAATTTATAGGCAAAACTGAACAATTATATACTTTTTAACATTTTTTGGATATAAGTATAATTTTTTAATATCTGTGAAATTGGTCAAATTTGTTTTACATTAAAGACAGGAGAGTGTAATAGGTAATTTGGGCAGGTTAGGCTTCAAACATTCAATCATATAAGAAACCCATATAGCCAAACTCAACCTTAACATCTTGGTGTTTCAGACTTATTTAGGCTTATCCAAATACCCAAATTATTAAATATTATTTATTTTACTTTTTCTTTAGTAGCTAATTCCAATTTTATCTTAAAATTAATATTTTGAATTGTTATTCTATTTTAATTTTATTTTATCAATAATAAAATAGAATTTGAATATTCAAACTAAACCCATTTGGATTTGAGCTTGGCACAAATTTGTTCAAATTTATTCAGGCTGCCTAAATAAATTTAAAGTAAAGAAAACTTTTTAAACTATCAAGTTTGGTTTTATAATTTTTTGGGTTTAATTTATTCAAGTTAGTCTAATTATCCTTACCCAAATTATCAACTCTAATGCATGGCTACTAGAAAGGCTTTTTCTTGTGATGTGATATTGTGTAAGAAAATGTATTAATGGAACCTCGCATAACTACAGAAAGTGAATTGGTTATTTTATACTAATGACTTGGACGAACATAACAAAGCAACGCAGACAATTAGACTATTCCCTTTCAACCAAGGTATTATAGCCGAACCGACCATTAAATCAGTCGAGGCATTATTCACAATTTAATAGTTTGACCAAGATTGAATTGTTTATAAATAAATTAATATAATTAATATATTTTAAATATTATACACTAAAAATTATAATTAAATTAAAAAAATTTACTGCTATTAAATATGTTTTACAATAAAGAGGGAAGAAAAAATATATTATTATTTAATATTATTTTAAAAATAAAAATATAATACAAAAATATATATTATATAGTGGTGGGGCCGTGGGAGTGAAAATACGAGAAGGGAGCATATATTTATCATAAATAATTTATGTGAGGAGGAGTCGGTGATAGTAATCAGGACATCGTGGTCAGAAAAGATAGGAATCACTAATCGGGGCCAGAGAAAAAGGGATCTGTCTTCGAGCACCGTTCATCACCCAAAACAAATCGCCCAGATTTTTTTAACTTTAATTTTAATTTTATATTTATAAAAATTAAAATTTATAATTTTTTTAATAAATATGTTTATTATCAATCTGAAAAATACTGATTTAATTTAAATAGTTCAATTTAATTTTATAATTTTTATAAATTGATTATCTAAATATACTTTGGACAATACAGATTTAATATTAAACTTATTAATAATTTTTTATTTTAATAAATATAAATAAAAAAAATAAAAACTTTAAATTTGAACCTTGAAAATAAAAATTTAATATTAAATATGGATTGTCTAGAATACATTCAGAGAGTCAATTTATAAAAATTATAATATTACATTGGACCATTCAGATTAAATTAGTACTATTAAGATTGATGATGAATATATTTATAAAAAAAATTATAAATGTTTATATTAATAAATATAAAATTAAAATTTAAAAATCTAGGCCATCTAGATTTGTTCTGATCGATGAGCACCAAAGAGAGTGATAGGTTTGATTATATGGATTGGGTGTGGCCGTGGATCCTCCCATTCTATTCTCTCTCTCTCTTTCTCTCTTTAATTTTATATTTATAATATATTATTATAAATATAAAATATATATATATATAATTATTTTTACCCACTGTACATATACATGTATGTTTGTATGTATGCATGTATGCATTTATGCATATGTCATTTTTATTAATTATTATTATTATTATTATTTTTACTTGGAATTACATCCTTATAATTTATCTATTTTCTAAATTTCTAATCCTTAATAAATATCCAATAATTTTCTATGCATACGAATTTCCTTTCTATGCCTCAAAATTACCTATAATTAATTGATAACCTAGTGATTGGAAATTTAAGATGTTACAATAAGGGTAGAACATCACTCATATTAATAATTTTATTTGTAATTTTTGGAGTTTTATATGCAATTTTCCTGTTCACTAATGATCAAATTGACAATCTATTAAACGAAGAAGTAACATTGCACCAGTGTTAATACTTAAAGGTGACATTATGCCATCCTTTTTAGAGTGATCAGTGGACCTTAATCCTTAACTTTATGGGTTTGAATATTTAGTTGTTTGTGGTAGATCTTTGGCAAATTTTTCTATTATTTTCTCCATTACGGTAAGATATGTTGGCCATCATTTTTGCGTGCCGCTATGTTGTATAATTGATAAATGCATACTCTTATATGAGGTTCACTTTCTTGTTTTGTACAAAACGTCTCTTTTACTTCTATTATAATTTAAACGCATTCTAGAGAATCAAATTTGTGCCTACAGAGAAGATTGAAATTGCATGCCAAAGGCAAAAGTGCATGTCGTTTTTGCCCTTTTATTGTGATGGCGAGTAGTAAGAGAAAATGAAAAATAGAAAGCTTATTTAAATGACACACAAACAAGACATACCATCTACAAACGCGCGTGCTCTCTCTCTCATTCACTCACCAGTCACAACAAGTCTAGAAGAAGAATGAGTGAGTAGTGAAATTCACCTAATCTGTGAATTCATTTGTGTTTGAACCCACGCAATGGTGTCTTGAAAAAGGAAGTGGCATATAGGAACACTCCCTGGTTTCACTTTTAGCATTTGGAAGGCCAAATGTTTTGGATTCCACTGTGACGTGTCTCTGTGACATACACTTACAGCTTTCATTCTGCTTCCATCAGCCCCCTTCAACGACACCATATAGGTGACTGTGTTCTCTATTTTGTGACAGTAAAACACTGCATACACATAATTTAGCTTGTGGCACACCACTGCTTTCGTCTCTACTGCCACCTTCTTCACTCCATGCATTATTGTGTACTCTTGCTTCTTTGTTTCATTCACCACTTCAGTAGACCAAGCTTCCACGTGTCTTTCAAGCTTGGAAGCGATAAAATCAACCATGGATTCCAATGAAGTGGCACAATACTTCTCCTCTCCTTTAATCCCTGACTCCTCGCAAAGTTTAATTGTATTATTCATAACCTCAGCTTTTACTGTCCCAGCTTCACAACGAATTTGTTCAATATCTCAGCCATCTATTAGTAAAGAATCACAGATACATAAATTATCTATTTTTCCTCTCTTAGTTTCTGAATATCAATGTTCACAGACATGGTTGAATGATTCTAACACTACGTACCTTGCTTGAAGTAAAGGGAATGAATTTCAAGATTTCTCGAGGCAGGAAGGATGCTTGATTGGAGGTTTGCGTGAAGAACAAGTTCATTCTGTGACCAGCCTTCAAGTCCTTCTCCAAGAAGAGAGAGCTGTGTTGTCGTTATCGTGTAGCTTGTTCCGATTGTTCTTTTAAACAATAGTTGACGCACCATATATCTTCTAGTCTGTATTCGGTCCCGCCATGGACAGTGGTGCCATAACCTGACTTCATTGTCAGCATTAACTATCAGCACTTGAAGCGAAATGGATTTGGATTCATAAGTTGCACAAATTCACTCATTCAATGAGTATTTTACATGGCATGATAACAACAGTTTGATTCAATAAAAAAAAAAAGCAGCAAAAGAAATATTAGAGATAAAGAAATCAAAGAAGTCCTTAAGCTGTAGTTAACTGAGTGCCAATTTGCCAGTTTAATTGGTGGGTCAGGTCAGGTTTTCATTCATGGCTGAAAAGAAGCATACTGTGCTTGTCATGTGAGTTTCAAAATTTGCATTAATAAGGTACCTACAAACTTTAAAAATACTAACCAGTTGGATGGAGGAGATCTCTGATGGATTTAGGCATGGGAGTAGTGGGAAGCATGGACTTCCAATAAAGTTCAGAAGTAATAAGGTTTCATGTGCAGCATCCAGCACAACCTGCAATTTCATAAATAAAATATAAATTAAATACTCATTCACATAATTGGTTTCATTAGGGAAAATATAAAATAAAAAAAAGGTGAAATCATGAAAGGAAGTCGAAGCTCACTATGTAAAAAGCAATGATGGGTAGGAGTGAAAACGTCATTGTTGGAGGAGCTCCTTTCTGAAGCTAAACTAATGTGTTGATGATGATAGAGACAAAAGCTAGAGGAATTATATAGAGGGAGAAGGCCAGGCATCTTTTTCTTGTACAGAGATATGGGACTCGGCTTTGGGTCCGAAAATATCTTTTGGGATATTTCATGTGAGTGGATTTGGGGCAGATTCAGCAAATACTACAGAAAAAAAATTTGAGAATGACAGATAAAAACAATACAAGTAGGCATATGATTTAGGACCACAAGATAGAGAAATTACTGTAAAGCAAGCTATTAAAAATCAGATTAATTATTAAATCGATTAAAAGACTGATTTAAGGGTAATAATCTAACCAAGGTCAAACCAGTTATTAATTTATTTAATATATTTTAACTATCATACTTTCTATTTGAAATAAAAAATTAAAATAGTAATAATAATAAAAATATATTCTAAATTTATTGAAACTAAAATTAAATAAAGAAAAATATAATCATCAATTCTTATATAATTTCATTGGATTTTGCTTTTAATCTTTGTAGTTTTTTCAGTTTTTTTCAATCTCTATAGTTTCAACAAGCTTGGGTGATATTTGTTCCTCAGGTCATTGAAAACACTAGGGGGGGGAACTACAAAAATTAAATGCAAAATCCAAGAAAACTATATAGGCCAATGATTGTGTTTTTCCATTAAATAAAAAAAATGTGAAAGAATGAAAGAAGATTAAATAAGGATATTTTACTTGTTAAAAGCTTTATTTTACATGTTAATTCTCTTATATTACTCGTTTCGCTACAACATATTGATATAAGAATATTTTAGTCATTTTGTTTTATAATTTATTTCAATTCAAGCCCAGCATACTGTAGTGAAATTTTATGTTGTGTTAGGTTTGATTTGAGAATATGTCACATCCAATGAATGTCCTTAGATAAACTCTCCTTATATTGTGAAATTTTTGATGTTCTATATGATAATTTTTGAGTCAACTACTAATCAAAATTAATTTTTTTGAACGTGAGGATTTCTAATGCATCATTTACAAATGCTAAAAGAAGAATTACACCACATGTAAGTTTAGAATATTAAAAGCTTATAATTGTATCCTTAAGGGCAATGTTTTGAAAACCGGACTCGCTAATGAATCAGAAAAGCTAATGGTTTAAAGTTCACATGGTCTAACCTGTCAAATTGAACAGTCAAGCCGGTGATACGATAATCAAATAAAAAATATTATATATAATATTTAATATATACATGCATATACATTAATTAATAATAGAAAGTCAGGTCATTGGATGTTAGACTCTACGTCTTTAAGGGTCTGTTTGGTTCAAGAGGAGGGGAGAGAAGAGGAGGGGGAGGGGGGCTCCCCCCAACCAAACAAAGCCTAACTGTTATCATTTACCATGAATGTCAGGAGGAGACGTGCAAGAATAAAAAACGTGAGAAGGTCATGATTTTCAAAAGTTTTAAACTTCCCCCGATCTTTACCCTTCATCTTGTCTGGAAAGAGTCCTCATTTCAACGAAGCATGTTTCTTCCTCTCCTGTAATGTCCAACTCTTCCATTTCTAATGACAAACTTTCATCATTTCTTCAATATTATCAGTAAGTTGTTTATTCTTTAATACATAAAAAATCTTCCTCCTCTCCCTTCTTATCTTGCCCTTTTCTCCTCATCAAAGCTCCCTCTTCTCTTCTCTCACCAGAAAAAAAATCTCAACAAAATTATAATAACCATCAGGTTCAGGTTCTAGTCCAATAGCAGTTTTCTGATCTATTCTTAGCTCAATATGGTCCAATTCGATCACAACAATGGTTTTTTTTTTCTTTAAGAGAACTGAGCCGTTGTTGTGGCCGATCGGCAGTTGAACCCTCCGATCCGCTTTAATTTTTAAAACACTGTTTAAGGGACAAAAACCTTTAACCCAATTTAAAATGTTCATTAAAAAATATTAAAACAAACGAGTGGATGAGGTTATGCTGATTCTTGATTTCTAAATAGTAGTAGCATTAATTATTGAGAGTAATGGTGAGAAATTCAATGCTTTGTTGACAAGTATCTTAGATGTGATGTTAATTTGCTTCTGAACGAAAAAAAGTCTTTGCCGCCTAACACATCTTATTCTAGATATCGACATATAGATATGACACATTTGGCCAAATTGGGACCTATTTTGAAAGTTCTTCGTATGATAATTCTCGACTACTCCTTGTTCATGACTCATTAATTCATCCGAGTGTGACATCAAATTAAAGATCATTCATTGAAGAGAAATGTTAAACATTTGACTTCAAACTCTCAAACCATGATTTCAAGGAAAATTTTATCATTTTTAACCCTTTTTGTTTTTGTGGCAGTGCTTATATGTACATATATAGGAAAAAAAATAATTAAGTGAATGTCTTATTAAAAATATCAATAAGTTAATGAGATTATTCAAATTTTAGCATATAATAATGTTAACATTAATTACTAACTTTGAACATAAGAGATTCAATTATGATGTGATCAATAATGCTAGTTTATTTAATTTTGAACAAAGTATTTATATTAGTTGGACCATCACATCTTATTCTCGATATTTCAATGTATATCACACTTCCACCCAACAAAATTTTCTCACGGGGACCCATTTTGAAAGTAGGTACTTTGGCACATTTACTTATGAGAAAATGATAATAAAATTCCTCCGAATTATATAGATAACAATTTGGTCTCTCAAAATGTCATAATACCAATAAAATCCTTAGAAACCTCTTTGTCAATAGCTTTTTTAGGGAAAAGACTATTTTATCCTTATTGACAAATTGTGATTTTTGTTCAATTCTTATGATTCTTTGAAGAAAAGTTGTGATTCTTTAAATAAAAGTTATGAATGGAGTTTGTTATTTTGAAAACTTGTTTTTCAATAATAGAAATTACATTTGACAAATTGTGATTTTTTGTTCAATTCTTACAATTTACAGAATAAAATTGTTATTCCTTAAAGAAAAGTTGTAAGTGGAGCTTATTTTTTAATAACAGAAATTACACTTGACAAGTTATAATTTCTTGTTCAACTCTTATGATTTACAGAACAAAAATTATGATTCCTTAAATAAAAATTATGATTGGATCTTGTTATTTTAAATAAGGGTAAAATGGTATTTTTTTTAAAAAAGTTATTGACAAAGAGGTCTCTGGAGACTTGATTGATATCATGGTATTTCGAGGAACGAAATTATTATTTATATAATTTGAAAGGGTTTTATTATTATTTTTCCTTTACTATCTAAACGTATCATAAAAGTTGTTTCTGAAAATTTTTAATAAATTATGTTGCAAGTTGCTGTTTTTGCAAAAGTTTGAGGACCGGGCAAGTTGCTGTTTCCACAAGCAATGCATTCACACACAAACACAGAGACACACCACTGTTTAGATTTTCATCTATTTTAGAAAAGGGAGAATCACATTAAAAAATATTCAAAAAAATTATTTATAGATAAGCATCAATATGAAATAGATATTGTTAAAATAGGAACGTGATTTGTCTTTTCTCAAATGGGATTTGCTATTAATCTTTATTTATAAATAATTTGCTGAAGTGATCATTGGATGTGAGTTTTCCTTTAAAAAAATTGAATTTGCTCAAAACTCTCTGAATAAATTATAAGGGTCCCTTTAAAAAAAGTTGTAGGGCCCCAATGCATGCCATGCATGGATCCATGCACATTCACTGATTTCTTTTAAATTTGTCTCTTCTGATCAATCTTAGAAAGTAACCATACAAGTAAGATAACTTAAATTTATTGATTTATTGATAATGTCTAGTCATAGTCATCAAGCATGCGTTGACATAATTGTAAATCAAATAAAGGAAAACAAGTCTTCTTAATAGACATTTAATAATTCTATATAAGCCTTATTGGGTGACTATACAGATTTTTAATATGTCATTTTATATTATAATAAATTTGAACAAAAGATTTATATACATATATATATATATATATCTTAAACTCTTAAAAAATAAAAAAATTAAAATCTATGATTTTTGTTAATAACAATTGTAAGATTTTATGAGAATATTTTATTTATATTTTTTCAGAGTTCCTATAAAATCTTTAAGGCAGCACATGCCTTTGAAACCAAGCGAAGCTTCATATAATTGCTCGCTCTATCACTTTCATAAAAATGCCAGAGCTACGCGTTTATGCCATTCATATCACTGTGTCTAAGATGACATTAATTAACAGCACATTGGGTTGCCTAAAGGAGACGGCATATGAATAATGAAAGCATACAAATGAGTGGTTAACTTATGCAATATCCATCACTATCATAATCATAACCATAATCATTTTTTATTTTATTATTTTTTGTTAGGAGTACAAACATAATTTTCCATTCATATTTTCATTTATACAAAACATAGTTGTTGTTATCTCATGCAATACCCACAGTACTGCGTTTTACCCATTCTGATGTGTTCAAACCCTCCTAGCAATTTTTAGAAGTCTCAACATGTTTCTACGCGTCGGGTCTGGATAAAGGATGTTACAATTTGCTGAAATACGAAAAGAGTCAAGAAGCTCGGTCCTATTGATTTGTATAGAGCAAAGGAAGTATATATACATATATAGAGAGTCAATTTTTGGGAGTACAGGGACTCACATGAGGTGAGATAAACAAGGCTCATATAAAGATGACGAGATGACTACTTGAATCCAAAGCCTTCTCGAATAAATGTGCAAGACTTCTAGATATTTAATTAGCTTTGCAGGACCTTTATATGGATTGTTTTGATTAATTTATATGGATTCTTTATATAAAGGTATAGTAATATTTTTGATTAATTTTTGGAACATCGTCAGGGTTCTCTTCAAAGCACAAGGGTACTTTTTTATTTTGGTTCAATAATACAATCTATTCCCATGATTTTTTTAGGATTAATGAGCAAATAGGACCCTGAACAATTGCTCGAAAATCACCTTAAATCTTGAACTTTTAAAATATGCAAAAGAAACCTTAAGCTTTTAAATTCAAAGTGAAATAAACCCAAACCATTAACTTTTTAACATTGTTACTATCCACGCAGGTACTATTCAGGGTTTATTTTCCTACGAATTTAACCATAACTGTTACAGTACCTGCGTCGATAATAACAGTGTTAAAAAAGGTAACAGTCAAGGTTTATTTTGCTATGAATTTAAAAGTTTATGATTTATTTTTCATATTTTAAGAGTTTAAGGTTCAAAGTGATTTTTAAGTAAGAATTCAGGATCCTATTTGCTCATTAATGCTTTTTTTTTAATATGAACCAAACGTTTTTATCCTTTTGCATCCTCTTTCCTCCATAACATCACAAACAAAATAGTCTTAAACATCATTCTATTCCCATGTATTCTTTGAATCAAACGGGCCCATAAGAGACCTAGACTGATACAATGTTTGCAATATAAGGGAAAAGCTGTACATTAATCAGGATGTAAGCAAGGCTATAATAAATGTCACAACTTGGGTATTAAAACTACCACTAACATTAACCATAGCTTAGACTTGTTTCCTCATTTGTTGCTTACCTTCGTTTAAATCTTTGATTCGATTTGATTACTTTTAGCTCAACTTAAGTGATAAATGAGGGTAGAACGTCACTCATCCACATTAATTAGTATTAAAATTGTATTTTAATTAAATTATACTTCCTCCTATAGAATGTTTTCTAGAAAATTATTTTGTCCCTAAATATAAAGGGTGTCATAATATTTTTAAGTAATTAGATAATTTTGCTTTAATCTTGAAAAGGGAGAAAATATTAATTGTGTGATTTACCTACCGCGACCATAACATTAATTGTGGCATTGTTAAGAGTAAGACTAGAAAAGTATTATGATTTTATGTGATTTTGATTAAATAATAAACTTTTATTAGTACGTGAAATTCAGTTAATTGTGATTTTATGTTATAGTGTGACACATATTTTTAATTTTTAGTATTTTAAAAAACTTATTTGTAATTTTTTGAGTCTTATATGTAATTTTCCCAAATGGTCAAATTGATTTTAAAAACTGATTTAATTTTGAGTCTTATATTTTGAGTCTTTAAAAAACTGATTTTATGTTCACTAATGGTCAAATTGACAATCTATTAACAACGAGGTACTTAAAGGTGGCATATAGGGTGATCAGTGGACTTAACCCTTAATTTTATGTATGGATTTGAATATTTAGTTGCTTATGGTAGATTTTTAACAAAATTTTTCTATTATTTTCTCCATTACTGTATTACTGTAAGATATTTTGGGCCATCAATTTTTTTGTGGCTAAGTTGTATAAATGAATACTCTTAAATGAGATTCACTTTCTTTATTCGTACAAAACGTCTATTTTTCTTCTATTATAATTTAAACCCATTCTAGAGAATCAAATTTGTTCCTACAGAGATTGAAAATGCATGTCAAAGGCAGAAGTGCACGTTGTTTTTGCTCTTTTTATGGTGATGGCTAGTAAGAAAGAACGATAATTAGAAGGCTTAATTAAATGATACACAAGTAGTACATACCATCTACAAACTCTCTTATTTAAACGAGTCAGCAGTGAAATTCACCTAATATGTGAAATCATCTTTGAACCCACGCAATAGCGTCTTGGAAAAGGAAGTGGCATATAGGAACACTCCCTGGTTTCACTTTCAGCATTTGGAAGGCCAAATGTTTTGGGTTCCACTGTGACGTGTCTCTGTGACATACACTCACAGCTTTCACTCTGCTCCCATCAGCCCCCTTCAACGACACCGTATAGGCCACTGTGTTCTCTATTTTGTGACAGTAAAACACAGCATACACATAATTAAGCTTGTGGCACACTGCGACTTTGGCCTCTCCCACCTTCACTCCCTGAGTTATTGTGTACTCTTGCTTCTTTGTTTCCTTCTTCCCCTCCGTAGACCAAGCTTCCACATTTTTCCCAAGCTTGGAAGCGATAAAATCAACCATGGATTCCAATGACGTGGCACAATACTTCTCTTCTCCTTTAATCCCTGACTCCTCACAAAGTTTAATTGTATTATTTATAACCTCAGCTTTTACTGACCCGGGCTTCACTGCCGAATTTGTTCAATATCTCAGCCATCTGTTAGTAAAGAATCACAAATACATAAATTATCTGCTTTTCCCATCTTAATTTCAAAATAGGAGTAAAAAGTCAATTTTCCCTTTAAACCTTTTTTGAGGAGAGCTAGGCACTCTAATGAATTGCAGGGCAATATTCTCTTGAACAATTTTTCAAGAGGAAAATTGCCTCCATCAGAGACCCATCATCTCCATTATCTGCTAACATACTTGGAATAGTTGTGAGACCCGCACATGATGACAGTGAGGCATTTTAACCCATTTTGCCACCACTTACTACTAAAATCATTAGGCTTGGTTCCTGCTATTACCACTGTCATTTCTAGCCCCTTTAGCCCGCATCAGTTAGTCAAAATGGATCAGAATACCTTATTGTCACTGTGCGTGAGCTAAGATAGCAGATAATGGAGTGAAGATTATGGGTCTCACAGAGGAGTGATTTTGCTCTTAATGAAAAAAATTGTTTAAGGGACATATTGCCCTTCAGTACAGGATACCTAACACCTAAAAAAAAGTTTGAGAGAAAATAATCTTTAACTCTTCAGAATATCAGTGTTCACAAACATGGTAGAATGAGTCTGACGCTACCTACCTTGCTTGAGGAAAATGGAATAGATTTCACGACTTCACGAGGCAGGAAGGATTCTTGGTTGGAGGCAAGCGTGAAGAGAAAGTTCATTCTCCGACCTGCCTTCAAATCCCTTTCCAAGAAGAAGAGAGTTGTGTTGGGGTTACTGTGAGTTTGGTATCATATCCAGAGTCAGCATAACAAACCCGAAAATCGCAACGTCTTGTGCCTAATTCCACTCGGCCACTGTGGACGGTGGTGCTATCACTTGACCCAGCATTGACTATACATGAAAACGGAGGGACAATTTGTCACGCTTCTGGTAAATTTGATAATAGTGTTCATTTTGCCAATTTTTTATGTATTAATTACATTTAGTTTCTAATAAATTTGTGTGCAAATATCTCAAAAGACAATATAATTTTGAAATGGAGGGAGTATCATTGGTGAAGTGAACATTGAAATTCTAAGAAAACTACTGATGAAGAGTGCAATCTAACCAGCTGGGTGGAGGAGATCTGCGATAAATTTAGGCATGGGAGTAGTGGGAAGCATGGACTTCCAGTAAAGCTCAGGAGATAAAGCAGCATGCGTTACTAATGCAACCTGCAATTTCAATATTTCATTTATTCAATATAATATGTAAAAATATAAATATTCATTAGATTTAGATTCATTGGAAAAGAAAAAAGTGAAAAAGAAGAAGAAGAAGAAAGAAAGTGATCTCACTATGAGAAAAGCAACGATGGGTTGGAGTGGATACTTCATCATTGGAGAAACTGTGTATTGAAGCTGCAAATAATTATCAGTTTAAGAGATTAAATAGAAAGAGGGAAAATGGTAATCAAATATTGTCAAGAGATATGGGACCCAGACTTGGATATCAATTGGAAATATACATGCGATGTGTGGATACCATGCATAGATCATATATGAATGGTCGACAATTTAAAAAACTAATAAATGTAATAATAATAATAACAACAATAACAATAATAATAAATTAATAAAATATGAACCATTCACCAAGATATTTTCCCTATGTGGTACGAGAGATAACAACAATAAATTTTATCTTATTAGGCAAGGTCTATTATATGGATTGTATGGCATCATTATATTCTATCAACAACCAAACCTTTTGGTATATAATAATTTTGTAATTTTAAGGACTCAATTAAAATTAATTTTCTTATTGGAGATTTATTTGTAATTTTTGGAGCACTGCATGTAATATTCCCCACTTATTAATGGTAAACTAACGGTTTATTAAAGAAGAGATGATATTACACCATTTTTAAATTACTCAAGGATGAATTAGGCTGCCTTTTTTAGGGTCATCAGTGTGTACCTTAACTTTATGGGTTTGAATATTTAATTAGTTATTTATGGATGATCTCTGACAAATTTTTCTATTATTTTCTCCATCACTACAAGATATTTTGGGCCATCATTTTTTAGGCTAAGTTGTTTGAATATATACTCTTACAAGAGACTCACTTTTCCTTGTACATAACACTCTTATTACGTTAAACTGTACTTCTAATTTTTAACTTTATATAAAATTTTAATTTGATCCTTTAATTTTATAAAATATCTTTTAGTCCTCCAACCCTAATACCACAAAAGTAAGATTAAATAATAAATTTGCCTCAAGGTTTTTCATTAGGTATAATTTGTATTCTTAACTTTTGATTAATACAGTATTTTCTCTAAAAGTTTTTAGAAATGGTGCAATTTGTCGACTATTAATTGAACAATTTATACTAAGATTAAAGAGCAATTTTGTCTTGAAATTTTTTTGAAGACACAAGTAATACCCTAAATTTTCAATTGGTACAATTTTTTGGGTTATCAATGTTGAATAGAAACACCCGGTGTTGAATAGAAACACCCCATCGTGGCAGATGTTGAATAGGAAATTGCCACAAAAAGGAAAAGGAAAGAAGGAAAAATAGAAGGAGCTAGAATTTTTTTTCAGCTAGGACATGATTTTTCAGTGGTTTAGAAGTGAATTTGAGGGTTCTAATTACTTGATTAAGCTTTGTCTCTTGTTTTTCAACCTTTTATCACACTCCAAAAATAGACATGATTGGTATGGGATATATGTACAAACATACATCCCTTAAACTGTGATAAAGGAAACTTTAACTTAATATTTAATATTTATTTTTAAAATTTAATTAGATTTATATTCAAATTTTTAACACCTTTAATAATGTTCACCTATGAGGAAAGTTTCAGTAATTTTTTTTTTTTTGTAGAAATTTCTACAATAATAATGTGAATATCAGAGAGTCCGTTTATAGTTAAATCTAATACATCAACAAAAGACATGTTAGAGTCATGCCTTTTACGTTTTCATCTTAAAAAAAAAAAAAAAAATTATCGATGCAAATTACAACTTCAATGTTATTATTCCTTACTCTCACACGCACAACAGACCAACAATGGAAAGGTTCAAGACTCTTCACCTCAACTCAGTTAAGCTGTGCAGTGGCGGATCAACAGAGGTGATGAAGTTCAATAACAGACCTTCAACCAGCAACCCCAAGTCTTGCGTGTTTCCCTTCCCATAGACAAACTTAGATCATATATAGCAGCAAGAGCAAGAAAAACAAGAAGCATTTCAACGTGCACCCATGGAGCGAGCAGAAAAAATGATGAAAAACCAGGGAAAAACTCACGAAAGTGGCAAACAACACGACGAGGGCACATCAGCGGCGGTGACTGGCATGAACGACGACAACCATCGATTGAGAATGAAGAAGGCAGTGATTCGGTGGGTGATAGAGCAAGGTTCTGTGCAAATCTCTCAACTCTTTTCTGCTCCAGAATGGTCGAAGAAGGAAAGAAAGAAGGATTAAAAATATTCTGGTTGTGATAAGGGTAGCTTAGTAATTTCATAAGGTAAAAAACACAAATTGAGCTACTTGGCCTGACCAGGTTCGAAGCTGAGACCTGATGAAATAATACATATTCAGCCGCCACCACATCAGCTTCTTTCTAGTCCGAATTATTCCAAGAGTTAATATAATTACTATTAAAACACAAACTTACATATTTAATTTTACTTAAAATTCTTGGGTTATCACAATATATGAAGATAAAAAAAAATCAGAATGATATAATAAAAGCCATAAAAATTGCTTTTTGCCAATGGTATATGCATGCATTTAAACTCATGAAAATGAACATTCATAAAATGATTTCAATTTTATTTAGTCAGATAAGTTAATAAAAACAAAAAAATGAAGAGGAAGAAGCAAAAGTTCCAAATCAAACTTGAATGTTTTCCTTAGATTTATACCACTATTCATAAAGCTTAAACATTCATATAGTGCTCTTTTGGAAGAAAAAGAAAAAGATGAGACCAAAAACCTAAAAATGAGGAGAAACAAATAAATATAAAAGAGTTAAAGGTTATTTTAAGTACTCTAAATTTAATTATGAGTCAATTCTATTTTTTAAAGTTAAAAATTCTCTTCATCATCACCTTGACATTAAAAATGCCTAATGTCCGTTTGTTATCAATGAATCCCACCATTTTTTAATATTTTTATTATTTTTTTATTAGGTTAAAGGTTATTTTATCTCTCAACTTTTACTCGATAGGTCACTAGGCACCCTCAACTCAAATATTTTATAATAAAAAATATTAAAAAAATATAATATAAGGTCTACTAACCATAAAGAGATGGTGGGTTAACATCAACATAATAAAAGAGGGGATATTTTACATTGAAGATAGATATTAACCTATAGTTGAGTTTAGAGTGCCTAGTGATGATTCAAGCAAAGTTAAGAGGAAAAAATGACCCTTAACCCAATATAAAATGACATTAAGCTAATATGTGATAGAACCTTCTATTCTAGTAAACTTAGAACAAGCAAAACCCAGAAAAAAATAGTAAAAATGGACTAAAAATACTATTGCTGAATAATAAAAGGATTACAAGAAAGACAATGATTCGAGCTAACCCAACTCCCTCATACACCCATACACTAAACTGAATAAAGTTACAGAGTACAAGGATCAGTGTAAAATGCACACACCACAAAAACAATAACCTAGAACATAAGCTACTCATTAACACACACAAAAACATAAAGAGAAAATGATGAAGCAAGACGATCATAGCATATTACCTAATTCAAATAACTAATTGTAAAGTTGATGCAAATGGGAAATAAATGTCTGAATCATTTGTTAGGTGTAAAGAAAATACCTACTTAGACGGCATTAGGATGCTCCTCATACCAGGCTATATGAGTCAATCCGTACCTTTCTTCCAATCAATCTCTTTCACTGAGAAACATCTTTGAATTTCTTTGAAAGAAACGTTAAGCATGCAGAAAACCAGCTAAGACTGTCCCAGTCGATAGAATCGGGGAAGGGTAAAGTGATAACGAACAGAAAGTCACCACCTTGACAAACAACCACCGATAGATAGGTAAAGAATAGATAGAGGGCTAAAATGAAAGGAAATCATACCAACAAATCGCACAAAAGAGTGTGCACAGTGGAGTCGTTGCAATGACTGTGCCTAGCAAGAGGAGGAGGAATGATGATGATGATGATCATAAAAAATGACCTTACAAAAAAAGTAATAATGATTAAGCCTTTTAAATCTTTTATGTCATTCTTTCTAATTTTTTTTATCAACTAACAATCTTCCTCCAAAATATTATACTACCCAAATTTAATATTTTAGTATTTTGCAACTTGGAATTAAAAAGGAGGGAATGAATCTCCAAATAAACGAATAAAATTAATATTATCTTGTTAAATTTGCAACTCGCTTTGGGAACATATTGCATTATATGAAAATAGCAATTAAGATCAAGTGACACTTCAGTTTTAAATATCTGTTAATTTGATTGTTAGTTGACTAAAAAAATTATAAAGAATGACCTAAAAAGTTTAAGAGACTTAATCAATATTAATTTTATTAAAATATTATTTTTTTAATAAATATTAAATAATTTAATAATATTTATTAAATTTTATTTTAACAAAATTTTAGGTAATCCCATCCAGTGATGGTGGCGCAACAAGTTTTCAAGCTTTTTGTCCTTTTCTTTTTCCAAGTTTCAGCCAGAACACTGTTTTCAATCTTTTTCGGTGCCCCTGTTAAGAGAGAGAAAGTGATATGGCGTATGTATCCCTAAAAAATATCGGAGAAAATCAGCCAGGTGCATTTATATGTAAAGAAGTTAATTTGCTTCATATATATTTTTTATAATTTTAATAATTTAGATCCAACACTTTTTGTGATGACACCAAGAGGAAATGTATGGTAAGCTTGTGTTGGGAAATGATGGGTTGTCCACTTGACTTGGCTATATTTAATCTTATTGAATTAAGTTTGGGTTTTTTTTAATAGTTATGAAGATGTGGCCAATTGTTGGCCAAGCAAAAAGATGTGAACAATTTATGTCATTTATTTACATCGTTTAACTTTAATTTAAATAAATTTTTTGATACATTAACTTAAATAATCTAAATTGGCTGGTTGATACTTTCGTTGCGCCAAAAATCGTAGTGGGGTAGAGCCCAAGATATTATGAACAATGGTTTTTTGACAGAATGCTATGATATTTATGTTTTTGGTACACAATGCTTAGGCATTTAATTCTCCGATTTTTGAAGCCCAAATTTTGTTAATTGGGTCAAACGGTGCATTTAAGGCCAATAGTTTTTTTAGTTGTGGCTCGCGTGTCTTCCCTCGAGATTTATTCAAAGGAATAAAAAAGAGGCATGTTGCTTGGAATTTTTTTGGTCAAGTACATCACTCAGATCTCACGTCATGTTTGATTGTAAAAATGGGCAGGAGAGAGATTTCAACAAAAAGGATTGAGAGGCGAAGGAAAGGAAAATTAATTATAATTTTCTCTTCCTCTCCCCTCCATCTTAAAATTGCCAAGGGAAAGGGAGCTCATTCCCTTCATTTTCTCATCCAAACAAAGAAAGAAAATTTTTCATTAAAATTGGCCCTCTCCTCCCTCCTTCCCTCCTAACCAAATAGACCCTTATTCATATGAATATCACTATTACTATGAATTTAGTCCTTTTTTTCTTATTCTTTCCTATTTTTTTATTAAAACAAAGAGAGAATATATTTTATTTTTATTTTTTCTCTTCTCTTCATTTTCACTTATCCCATTTTCTTCAATTTTCTCTCCTAATCAATCAAATCATAACCTTTCTTGTCCCCCATTAGGAAAGTTATCTTCAATTATTTAAGTTGATATATAATCTCAATTTGCAATTCAAGCCCTATTGTATTAATGACGTTCACATTCTCATAAAAGATAAAGTTAAGCAAAAATTAATCTTTCAATTCTTATGATTTCACTCATTTTGTAATCAAGTCTTTACAGTTTAAATCCTTATAATGTTTTTAATCAAGTTTTTTGCGATCCTATTAATCTTTTGACTAAACAGATATGACCAGAACAAAGCCATCTTCCTCCTCCTTGCACCACCTCATGTCTCGTCTCTCCTCCACATCCTCAATGCCTTCTTCAACCACTTCTCTCACCGCTCTTTCATTCTATCGACAACATTAAGTGAGCCAATTCAGCATATGTCAGTATTCTAATGAATTAAAGCCATGAATCAAGACAATGAAGACGCTTATAGTTTTTATGTCCTTATTCAACTTTTAATTTTACTTGTGGCTAAACTTCAAAGGTTCTTTAGATCTTGTTCTCTTGGTTGTGTGCATGTGCGTAGTTACTGGGAGTATATTACCTTTATTTCGTCATATTGGTTGTATGAAGTATATTACCGATGTGCAAGTGTTTATCTAAATGTGTGTAATTTCTGTTCATGTGCTCGTTGTAACACCATTAATTCATAAGATAACTTCTTAGAAATATTTGCAAAAGAAATACAAAATTATCCACGATCCTACTCTGAGGAGTCTGGCACAAAAACATGGCCCAGCCCAACATCTCAGCAATACAATAATATTCAATAGACAGAAATATATTAAAGTTCATAGTATTCAAAACCAGTGATCCCAATACATCCAACGAGGACAATTACAAATTTTCCAAAACAAGTGTATTACAAGTTTATAATCAAAAGTCTAAACATAATTCCTAACATGTTTCATTTGTACAAATAACTCCCAGTTACAATATATATACACCAAGTATATTAATGTAGAGTGATGTGGTATGTGAATTATGAGTGAAGAGGTTTCTACTCAAGTGCCTTCCTGACATTAATAGATCTATCACTTGGAAAATATTTAACTGAAAGTGAGATAAAAATCCTAATAACTAAAGTATTGACATTATTGTCAAATAGCATCAAAATTAATAAAAGTTAAATTTTACAGTAAAGCTCAACTTAGGTCGTCTCCTTAAGAATCAATAGAGTAAATATTTAAATTATGGTTATGGAAAGGTAAATAATGGGAGGTTTTTTATGATGAAATTAAAACTAAATTAGAATTAAATAAATAGAGGAAATTCAACTAAGAAAATTATCAAGCACAAGTAGCGCAATTAATCACAACCCAATCACCTAAATTTAATCTTCCTTGTCCACAAATAATCAATTTTATTTAATTTTATTATTCTGGCTTTATTATTTATTTCTCAAATTATCATTCAAGAATTAAACAAGAAATTAAGTAATAGATTAATTGAGATCTCCTTTAATTCACAACCTAACAACTATTCTATGTTAGCCATACCAGAAACAAAGCAT